ATTCACTTTGTGTAAAATTTCTGTGTTAGTGGGCAATGAAGGAAATTAGTCATATTTCATATCTGCCAGTCCTATGATAACCTATTTCCTCTAGAAAAAACAAAACAACTAAAACCACAAACCCAACACATTTCCTAAACTTGTTTTAAAAGAGAAAAGCTAAAATTCTAAAAGGCTAACCATGAAGTACCCTCCTTTGAATATAAATTGGATTTTCTAGCCCAGCACACCACAGTGCTCATTGTACCCCTATCTATGGTGGGCAGCAGCTTTGCCCTGTTCTTTAGGCAGCACAAAGAGAACACAACCCCCTGGCTACACGAAGCCTCAATCCTCACAGGATTGAGGTCCTGCTCACAGCTGGAGATCAATTTGGGATGCTCTTTCTGCATCAGGATTCACCAGTGATGGCACAGAGCAGGGCATTCAGTCATCCTCATCCTCAGGGTTGCAGTTTCCCCCATTGAAAGAGGTTTGTTTTGCATCCATTGCCTCGCCTCAGGTCTATCTTTTCCTCCACCTCAGAGGGGGAAAACATTGTTAATAACCACATTTTAATGCTGGGTTTTCCTGCTAATCCTTTTGTAGGTGAAACTCCCTTGTACAATCTAAGAGTCAGTTTAGTGCTATGAGCTTGAAATAATAAAAAAAAAAAAATAGAGGAGGTGGGAAGAGTGGATATCAGGTTGATTCCACAGTCAGGTCTGCGCTTCTGTTACATTAAAGACCTCAGAGTGAAGCAGTGAACCATTTTCACAGCCTCACCACACTGACCTCACACACAAGCACCGTCAGGTTTTCTAAAGCTCTGCTCAGAACTGGTTTCACCAGGACTGGATTAAACCCACGGCCCCTGAGCACAGCTTAACTCTGCTGTGGACAGAGCCTCAAAAACCAGAGAAACTGCTGGTCTCACTCTGAGCCCAGGAGAAGTCATGAAGCCCCATTTTCCCTGTGGGAAACAACTCTGAGCTCCCTGGCAGCCTGTTCCAGCTGAGGAGCCATGGTCACTGTGTGTGCACCTCACCTGCCAGAGGGACCTGCTGGCACTCACCCCCTTTTAACCCCAGCCTGACACAAAATGCACACCCAACCACAGCTGCTGAGCCACGCTGACAGAGGGAAATTCTGGCTTTTGCTTCTCCTCCGAGTGCACAGAGCTTTAGACAGCACAGCTTCAAACCACAGAGCTCTGAAAAACAAAAACAGGATGTCTGCCTCTAAAGCTGCTGCTATGTGTATTTTTGCTGAGACTGTGCTGTCAGGGACCAGAGGTTGGTGTAATCTTTCATTGGTCAAATTCTCTTTCCTGATGGAAGGCTGAACTCTGGTGTGAATGACAGAAAATGTTGTCATGGTCAAGGGTTCATGTCATCACAACAAAAATAGAACCAGCTGGAGATAAAAAAATTAAAATACTAAATTTTAAAGTTGTTGGGCTCTCTACTCTTTTAAAACTTCAGTGATTCACTGATGGAGTCCCCTTCTGACTGTTCATCAGAGAATTTGAAATATTATGTGAGTAATTATGTCAGGCAGTGAGGCAGTCCAAACACTTCTTGCTAAAAATAGAACTACTCATCAACTGACTGAAATTAATACATTTATTTAATCCATCAGAATTGATTAATCTCTAATACCATCATTTTTATTCAGCTTTGGACACCTCAGAAGCAGCCATTATAAACCAACAGAGCTCTATGGAGGTCAGCAGCACATGGGATTTTTGGCCCCTGAAGAAATGGGCCAAAGATACTCAGCAAGAACTTCAGGCAGCCACAGAGTTATAATCTGAATACGATGCTTTTGTCCCCTGGCTCAGGAGTTGGTCACATTTGTGCAGAGATCACCAGAAACAAACATCCCAGCTGTCTAAGGGATCCAAAGCAGCTGTGTTCCTACAGAAAGGTCTCTCAAGCTCCATTTTCCATCTTCCTGCCTGATTTCACTGACACAAGGGCAGCTTAGCTTCTCCAGGCTTGCATGGACCACTCACATCAGAATTCCACTGGTGGATGCATCCACCACTGACAGTGGGAACCACTGGAAAGTGCTGCATTACATTAAACGGGTTTGCTTTCAGTCAAATATCACGTTAAACAACAATATCAGCAGTTTTCAGGCAGCCTGGTGCTTGCTTGGCAAAACCCACCTGAGTTACTGAGATGTGAATCTGCTACACATGTGCACACTGATGTGACAGAGCCTTGTCCAAGGCAATGAGGCTCAGGGGTAAGAAATCTGTTTTCGTGGGATATCTTTTGCCCTCCTCACACACTGGAAGGAATTTTCAAGAGCGTGTGGCATAAAGCAAAGCTTATGTCACCAGAGAGCATCTCTGCTGTCATCCATGCAACAGAGCAGACATGATGAGCATCTACTGTTCCCATTACAGAAAACAACCCATAAAACATCACAGTTGTGGACCTGCCACCACGTTTCATAATCAACACAGGAAGCTGAAAAATGACCAGTTGCAGACTTTGAAATAAAGGTTTACTGCAGGACTGATTTTTAGTTTAAAATACTTGCTGAAGGCAAACAAAACTTCAGCTTTTGGCAGCTCCTCAAAGTCAAACTCGAGTTCACAAAGTGCCTCACGTGAAACTGTCCTCATTGTGGGATCCTGGCATGAACTGATATGTGAAAGCCAAGTTTTCACTTATTTTGCAAGTTGGGAAGACTCACTATGTGTTCATATGTACATATACACCCACACACTCCTTTTTGGCTGAATTTTACTCTTGGAAGTGTTTTTGTTTTATCATTGACTGCTTTTATGACTCTAGGGTGAAGATTTGTTGGCATAATTGAGTGAAAAGCAGAAGCCATGCTGTTTTGGAAAGCTCATACACCAAATCAAATACATCACACACCAAGACTTACCTGCCTACACTTCTGCCAAAAGACAAAATAAATAATTACACTGAGTATTTCTAATATTAATGTGTGTGCCAGGAAAACAGAGTGTTAATATCTTACTGTTTGCATTGAAATTGGAAGTTTAAACCTGGATCCATAAATACAACATTTTCTGTGCTTCTCTCATAAATCTCACAGTTTAAAGAATGAAACACTACACATTTCTGCTCAAGAATCAGCTTTACTGTAAAATTAATGCATCCTACTAGGTAAAAATGTAGACACGAAAAATGAGATCAGTGATAGAGGTGAAAACTGCTATGCTCATTTAGAGGCAGAAAACTAGATTAAATCATGTTTTGGCTTTGTTCTCACATGGCACCTTTATATCTGTAATTTCTGGCCTTATATTTTCTATAAATTTGAAGTTTCTTACTAGTATTTAGAACCTATAATTTATACATATGTTTTTTATTGTGGGACTTAGAATGTAAAAATCCTTCATTTAGCAATTTCAGTTGCAAGATCATTCTGTTTCTATGCACCTGACATCCAGATCAAGAGGAATTAATGATTTCACAGTATATGACTTTAAACTGTGTAGCACAGTACTTAAAATCTCTCCATGTTTTAATTTCTTCTACTTGTGCACTTGATTATTTTTCTGCTACTCCTTATTTTCCACACAAGGGAGAAATGCATTAAGAAAAAAAAACAATAGGAGCTAAAAATGCAGGTACAGTTTTCACTACAAAACTAAGTCACAATATCACCATTTTTATGCACTAAATGGTAGAAATAAGATTAGATCTGAGGTTTGTTTTTTTTTCTCAAATGCAAAACCCTTTGCTTGCACTGTGCTGAATAAAAAGAAGAAAAAAGACCAATTTGATAGAACAATTTAGAATTTTGTGATTTGAAAGCAAGGCCAACATGACATGTTGGGGAAATACAAGGACCAGGATATCCCATATGAAAGCACATTGCAGTCACTGCAGATGTAGTAGGCACATCTGTATGAGTTCCTTGGACAGAAATTAAACATAGGATGTGAAAGAAACCCGCTTACAGGTAATCACACACAAAAACCCTCTTAAATGGAATCACATTGCTTTCAAATTCATCCTGAACACCACTGTGGATATTTTTCCCTATCTAAAGGCAAGCAATAATTTTTTTTCTTTTTTTTTTTTGCCTCAGCTAAAGCATTTTTCCAGTGCCAAGCCCAGATGTTTTCCTGCAAGAGTTATCCCAGGTGAGTTTTTCACCAACATTACTATAACATCCAAACATCAGCTAGACCTTCATGAGCCTGCTAACTCAAGAGATCTTCTCACCAGCATTATTTGTATCAGTTTCTGATGGGAGATAAAACATTGCTACGGCACCTGGATGTTCTGGTCCATCCAGGTCTTCCTTTGTGTTTTAATTTGAAATTTACATTTGAACTTTACTCCAGAATCCCCATGCCCAAAATAGGACATGTATTTTACAGGACAAAAGCATGAAGGCTACTCAAGATCCTGATAAAACACAATATAAAGCTGTTCTGCATGATTATTTTATTTCCAGAAATATTTGCTAAGCCAAGAAAAAGCAACAACTCAACAATTGCAATGAACTCCCTGTTGGGGATTTTCTGTCCTGGGCAATAACTTCACTTTCATATTTGTGGAACATCATTTCCTTAAAAGTGTGCCTGCTTTATAAAAATATTACTTGAGGTAGCCTTTCTATTTTCAGGCTGCATCTATAAATTACTATTTCATTTAGGTGTCCAATCAATTCATATTAGGACTGCTTTAGAGCTTAACCTGATGGGGCAGCCTACAAGTATCAAACTGTCTGTAAAGCTCACAGCTCTCAGGAGCTGTTTCAGCTGCCTTAAAAAGTGGGAAAACAAAGACACCAAGACTGCAAGGCCCCCACCACAGAGCAGTGCTGCTTTTCCAAGAGTCTGGCTACTTCCACCAAACTTTAGGCTAAACTAGGAAATGTTCACATTTAGTTAAACAAGATCAAACACATAATCACTTCAAGAGCAGCCAACCAGCCAAAGCACAGCTCTTACTCAGTGGCAGGTGTCCCTGATTGTTAATGAGCATTTAAGGATCAGGTAAGAGCTGCTGCTCACTCACTGTGCCACATCGGATGCCGCTGGCAGCGGGGACTCCTCGGGTACCAGGTCGATGTCATCAGTGAAGCTGCTGGCCCGGGACACGTCTGGGGTGTGCCCTTCCAGGCGTCTTCTCACTGCACAAAGGATGCAAAGAGATCATCGCTCATTATCTACAATCTACCAGCTCTTGCCATGGCACAGACATTGCTCAAACACAAGGAATCTCTTTCAGGAAATTCCCGCAAACAGAAATTCACCACCTCTGCGATATTGATGTGGGCAGGACAGTAAAAACTATCATGTAGGGGGATACAATATAAGAAAAAAAAGATAGTACAGAAAGTAATCTTAGTCCATTAAGGAGTTGCAGCTGAGCCAATTATTAGATATTGGGAGCAAGCCTGAGTTTAACAGGCCACACCTGTAGCCAATAAGAAAAGTGTTATAAAAGAGTGGATTGGTGGGAACTGGAGTCAGTTAGCTTCTGTGAGGACAAGGAAGAGTCAGAGCCAAGAGGAGCTGCCTGCAAGAAACATCAAGGAGTAATGAAACTCTAGCAACATGAAACCCTTGCAATGAAATGACAACACTATCAGATTTCCATTTCCTCACTCAGCACCATTTGATATGTACGCTTTAATACCTTCAAAACCATTATTTCAAATGCTATCATCATACAAACAGAATACTTGAAACCAAAGTGCTCTCTGGTCACTACAACCACCAGTGTTCCAAATTTCTCCTGTGAACCAGGAAGACTCAGGGGGTTGGATGTAGTTGGCTCTGCAGGATAACCGTGGTGGATACAAGCTGTGCTGCAGTTTAGCTCATGTTCCAAGTGTTACAAAGGTACAAATTTCATTACAGATTTGGAAAATACGCAATTGCCAACTAATGAAGGAGTTCACTTAAGACACTACAAAAATCAGAGATCCGGTATTTTCTAAAGGCTTCCATCCAATATAGGGCTGACTTCATCATATATGTATGGTGTACACATACCTGTCTTTCTAAATTCAGATGCATCAATATTCAAAAGCTATTTCTGCTGCAAGTTCTTTTCATTATCTTTTCCTGCATTAACTTGGTTCAAAAGCTATAAAGTGTATCTAGCCTAAATTGCTCTGATCTAAAAGCAATTTTGTTCATTATTCCTAGTGATCCAACAGTTTCTAAGGGAGCTACCTATAAATTTGAGTTCTGATCATCCTTGAAAGCATAGCGCATGAGCTGACAGAGTCTAACTTGGAAAATGGACAGGATGACATGCAAAAACAAGGGTGGGGGAAAAAAAATGTGTGTGGGTGAATCACTAAAATTAAGCACCAAAACAAGTAAAGACTAAATAGCATCACTGGCATATATTGTGACAGAAAAAAGAAACCTTGCCTCCTAGAAAATGAAATTGTTGAAATCTCCAGTTAATTCCAGAACAACATTTTAGGTGGATTTCATTCAAGTTCAAGGTAAATACTAAAAAGTCCACAACACCAGAGCTTGCTACTGAAAGATCCATAACTCAAGTGGCAAGGAATAAAATGAAGTCCATGGAAAAGAATTATCAAATAGTGCAACTGAACACTGACAAAGGACATAAAATGACAAAGCTATTTTATTTCCCTCTGCTGCATTAAATCACAAAATGTGTGTTTCCAGGGGAAACCCAAATCTTCCTGGCACTGGGAGCATGAACTTCTGTGTTCTCCCAACACTACTGAAACACTTTGGCTGTTCTAGAGGAGCTTCATTTTGTGAGACCTGCCAGTTCTGCATTTGTTCTGTAAGAGAACTATGTGGCCTCCTACTTTGCCAGAACAAGTCTTGAAACACACAGATCCCATATTTGAAGTATGGCCTTGGGAAGCACCAATCTCTGAACATGGCACATGATCACATCTGCAAAATTCAACTGGGGGAGCTTTGGCTTGAGCTACAGTAAGGTTTTCCTCATAGGAACTTCGCAAAACTTGGGATTGGGCCAAGGCAGAGCTAAATCACTGTGCCCATATAAGGCACATCAGATGAACAGGAAAACTCTGCTTTGCTATCAATTCCTGCTCCACAGTGAACTGCTGAAAGGGTCAGAGCAGGGCCTGGTTAACTCATGGCAGTTTGCCTCCTTCATAGGACTGCATAGATACTAAAGTTACTGCAATGCAGCTGCCATGAGAAGTCATAGGATTATATTTTAGTCTTGCCATTTTAGGGATTTGGTCTATTATTGCTTAATCAAACTCCTCTCCGGCTCATCACACTGCTGCTTGCAGTCTGCATCCAGGCACTCCTAAAGAGCCCTGAAAACCATAATTGGTCACATTTGGCTTGCTAGCTCCTTTTCTGAGAAGATTTCCCTGCTGCAATGTGCCCCATAGCACGTTGGCTCTGAGCAAGGGTGGATGAGAGCAGGAGCCAGATTCCAAACCTTCACATCCTCACCATTCCCATGTGCTGTGCTCGGCCGCTCTGCTTTTCCTGCAGGTGCACCTGGAGCCTGCCCCTGACCAGGGACCTTCTGCTGGGATGTGGGGAACCTCATCCTGGGATTTAAAAGCCTCTGCTTGGTTACCCACACGAGCAGGACAAGCTTCTGTTGTGCCATCACATAAGGCAAAAGCACCCAAATTTTCCCTTTGGTGAGGACTACTGTGATTATCTGCGGCAGTTTCTTTCCCCAAGGAGGGCACATTTCATTTGGAAAAAGACAATGATGTGATTATGAATTCCACACAAACAGGAGGTTGTGTAACACATCCTCTGTAGTGGATTTTATCAGCAGAATGGAACTTGTGTGCTTAACTCTACAAAATTAAGTATTTGGGTCACATCCTGGGAGGTTGCCTCACTGCTTCCCCTCTGTCGTCCCATTCTTCCATGGTCAGATCCATGGACTGAACCATTTTTGCCATTTTGGTTGCAGACTAGATTTATCTCAAAAGTACGAAGAGAAAAAGGAGCTGCTCACAGAAGTGCTGCTCTAGTAGATCAAGATAAAGCAGAAATCACAGCTGTGAGACTGATCATATTTGGGTGGTGAGATTCTGAGATTCCCTACTACTCTCAGAGCCACTTGACTCAATTCAAAGTATTTGTTTTGGAAAGAATTAAAGCTATCACCAGAGAATACTTACATGTTTTATCCATGCAACCCTAATAAAAATTGGTTAATACTGATTTCCCTCTATGCTTTTAGAATTAATTCATTTTATGTTTTTCTGCTTTAAAATATTAACACATGAATAGTGTGTTCTGGTCCCCAAAATGAATGCTAATGGTAAATGCATGTAATACATGGTATTTTCTGAATATTTTCTGTCCTTTAAGTGACTGTCAGAATTGTGAGCAGTTATTTTCTTATTCAAAACATTCATTCTGGAACCAACTCAGTTTTTGCAGTTAACTCACTTTTCTTGAACTTCCAAAACTCATTCAGACAGCAATGCTCAGTCATAAATCAAAATTCCCAAAAAAATCACACTAAAAGGGACAACTTTTTCTTTTAATGTCAATAAGCCATAAGCTCCTGAGCAATAAAGTAATTCATAAAAATCATTCATGATAGTGCTTTCACTTTGAGGAAATGTGGAGCATCATGATACATTCAACACATGGCAGTGATGTTTTCCAGAAATAAAACTCAAAGTTGTAAGGCCCAGCTACAACAGATGGTAGTTTGTAGCAGCTGCAGCTCAAGCCAGAACAACTCTGTCTTCCCTCTCTATATTTATTTTCATAAGATTTCCTTGTCCAAACTGACTTTAGGGGAATTAATGCCCTACATTTGATGCTGCAGAGTACTAAGCAAGGGAGGCAAGGAAATATGAAGAGGGGAAAAAAGAGGAGCCATCCCTCCCTTACATGTGTTACTACTTAGAGTATGAAGAAGCTGTACTGGTTTCATAATAAAATATATTATATTTCATGAGCATGAAAAGTTGGAAGCAGCAACTTGAAAATAAAGAATAGTATCTAGCACACTACAATAAATTCCAGTGATGCCACAAACCCAGGGAGCCCTAAAACAGAGCAATTGATTAAATAAAATAGCAAAAAGAAAGTTAAGTTTCATATACTTTTAATTCCTAAAATGGTGAAGTCATAAAATAAACACATCAAAACATAACCCAGATGTATTTTTTGTAATGCTGTTTGGCTTTATCTAACCTTAGAGTCCTTATCTATATTCCACTAACTTCTGATGGGGAAAATTATGGGGAAAAGGCAAGCTCACAAATTAGAAATGCAGCAGCAAACATGACTGCACTATTGTGGTCATTCCCAAACAGACAATGCCTATCAACAGCAGGACAGAATAACAAGGAGGATGTTGCACTATCCTCTTCTCAGATAAAGAAGGTGAAATAAAATCAGGTCTCTGCTCCTTCAGTGCCACTGTCTCCTCATCCCTTTCAGATCAGCAGCAGTTAAAACCCTCTCTCATAATGCCAGGCTGCTCTACTCAGTGCCATAAGTACACAGGACAAATATACGATTTAATTTCATCTGTAAGGCTGCATCCTGACAGAAAATCCCTAGGATAACTATGCTTCCTTTATCTGCAGGGATGAATAGCCTGTGAGATCACACTGCCATGTCTTGTCTTCTTCGCTGTGTCAGGAACTTGTACCACCTCACTAAAAATATTGTATTTGTAAAGCTGCACAGAGGCAAACTGGTTTGGGGTTGAGACATCTCCAAATCCTCACTTTCCTCAGAAGAATAAAGGAAAGTCAATAGTTAACAAAAGCCCAGAGGCCTGGAAGTGTCTGACACCTCAACACCAGCCTGCTTTTAAAAACCTCTTCAGCTTGCTTTTGGTATCATTCATTCAGCAGGCAAATGGCATTTGAGCCCCTCTGAGGAGTCATGTTAGAATAATACAGTAAAACAGAATTAGCATGAAGTGAATAATTTCTTTACCAAAATTATAAGAGCTTTTCTTCATTACCCTGTGAAGCTAGAGTAGCGTCAGGAGGAGTGTACTCAGTACTACTCCAAATAAAGATATTTTTACTTTAATTTTATGTAAAACTTACAAATCTGAGCATCTGAGGCTGTGATTTTACATCCTTCCTACACATTCAAATGTAAGCCATCTGCAAATGCCACATACTCACACTGTCCTATACACAACTCT